AGTCGACTAACCAGCCCTAATGATCTCAGGCATCATATTCCAATGTAATTGCAGATAAATTCATTTAATTACAAGTGTAGGCATTTAATGGGAATTTATATCTCACATTTAGGATTTTATTAATTTTGAATAAACTTAACCAAGCTTCAACCAAATCATTTAGTATTGGTTTTAGTACATAGAAACCTACATCAGTGTCCTTTGTGTTCGACAACGCTACTGACCCATGAATAATTTGTCTAATTATGCATTAATTAACAGATCGTTAATTGGAACAATAAACGGGAATGAAATGATTGTTGAATTGGCTTAGACCGACAAAATATTTGTTTTAATTATTTGCTTATATGGTATGGTTTTAAAAACTCCTTTGATTAAAGAGAAGGGAGAGTTGCAGTGATTTATTCTGCGGTATACAACTTCATTTATGAGAGCTTTAAATCAGGGAATGTAATCATTATAAGTAATATTTTAAAAACTACAAAATATTGATTATTTTTTTTATCAAAAATAAAACTCAAGTTGGTTTTGTTCCAGCCTTTTTCATAGGGAATTTGATAAATCTTCATTAACATTTTCATGTGACGACAACTGCCTACACTTTTTAGTCGAAGAGCCTTTAAAGCTATGCTCGAAAAGAAAACATCAAACATTGAATTAATTTAATTAATTTTCAGAATTATTGTAGAATTTATTTAAAATCTTTAATTACTTCTGCTGCATGCTTAAATCACAAAACATACAAAAATTGTGTACACAAATTTTGAGAGTGTAATATTAACTTTTGGAAAGAAAATAATCACACTAATCAATCAATAAACGCAATTTGAAATCACATGCCACAGTATTGCCAAGGATTTGTGTGCCTGAGATCTTTGGCTAACATTTTTAGAAATTCAATAAGATAATAATAATAAAATTCAATTCAATCACGCAAAACAAGTCTTTAAAAACAATGTCATTTTAACAACCATTTAGAGAGCTAGTTGTTTTGAAACTTTTAGTTATATGTCCGGTGGCTGCAATGAATAATTGCCGAGAAGTTGGTGTGCATGTGGGGGTGTATGTGTGCGTTTATTAGTATTATTATGTGCCTCTTTTGAGCCTTCGCTTAAGTGTTGTGGGTTGGAATTCAGAGCATTTAAGCACACACATCCCCGGGGGCACTATTTGCCAAACAACAAGCACAATTGCGGTTGCGTGGCTTAAGTTGTGTTGACATAAAACATGTTTAATACGCTATCATAAACATATATGTACAAACGTACATTTAATACATTATTTAGCTGCAGTTAAATGTATAATCGTAGACAGAATTGCGAGTATACTTGTATTGTATGGGAACAAATTACAGTCGACAGTCGTCGTACTCTGATTGTTTTTGTCATTTTGCGGTTTGTCCGTTTAGGTTCATTTCACATTTTACATTTCACATATAATTAAAACTGCATTTTGTAGTTGTGCATTATTCGCACAGCTGTAAAGTGCGCCATTTTGAGACTGTGCCGACACACAATAGGCGTAAATTAACATAATGACGTGCTGTGCGGCCACTAAATAAAATGCCAACGAACAGCACAAACAACAAATACTTGTATATATATACTCGTACATAGTATATTTATGCATTTATATGACAATGCAAATGGCGTCTGCATTAAATTTATTGACACTTTAGTGCGCATTGTCTCTGCAAGGGAGGAGGTGGGCGATGGTTGGGGCCGCGGCCGGGGAATAGTGTAGACACTTCCGACGCCAGGTTGGTGTTGTTGCCTCTACAGTTGACATTGCCACAAACCCATCGTCGTGTTTATCGTGTTCCTTTTTTCCGAGCATTTCTCACATTTTAATGAGCAAAGTTTCCATGTGGCATTTGTTTGCAGTTTTGTCGACTACGTGCAGAAAACTATATAAAGCTCAGTACTCGTGTGCTTCCAAAGGATGAGCATTATATTATCAAAATAAAATTAATTTTCAATGTCAGAACGTATAAGCAGACATAAAATGGCATCAAAACTACAAGCAATTAAAATAAAAATACAAAATAAATCCTAAACACACATAAACCGCAAACCTTGGGAGCCGTCGAAAATATTTACACATGGTTAGACAAATCTCAACTTAAAATCTCTTAGCACATCAATAATAAATCTCAATTTAAGAGCTACATTATCTATAAATGCGTCCATACTATCTAGTTAACTATTTTCCATATCATTGATACTAAAAAGATGCAATTTGGATCCACTTTATAGGAACACTTTTTCAGACAAAAAAACCATGTAAATCACATTGTTTACATGTTCGCTTTTTGATATCACATATTTTCAATACGATAGTTTTTAAAATGTGCGAAGAATATGTAGGTATTGAAGAAGGACGGGCAGACGAGTAGCAGTCTAAAATTGTTGCATAATATAAACAATATGGTTTCCGTTTCACTTTTTGATCATGGGTCTACCAAGAGCCAATACGATTGTCTGGCTACTTAATGATCTTAGATTCGGACTACATTAGCAAAACATGACTAGAATAGTTCCGGAATTGTGGACAGTATTCAGTATTAAATTGGATGAAAAAAAAAACAAACCTAATATTTGAGGTGTCTGTTTCTGTAATTGTAGACAGCCAAACCAATCTAGAAAGACTCATTAATAATATAATATATAATCATCAATATACTTATGAGCATCAATGTAGCTTATAGAGCCGTATGAAACTTCAGGCCAATTGATTTTCTATCTGACAAGGTATCAGGATAACTTAAAACTAATTAAAGAGATCCTTGATTATAAATGGATTGAAGATGGACTATCCGTTGAAAATAATAATAAACAAGTATGGAATGCTACAGTTGTGACCGACCAACTGTTTAAAACTCTCGACCCACTTCAAATCAATCAATTAAAATTAATTACAAATAATGAATCCAACAATACGTAGCAACTACTTATAAATAAGTAGTACATACATTTATTAATTATTTTACAACTGCATCGAGTGTGCAGAGTTCAATCAATGGAGCAATACTATAAAAGCAAGAGCTTCTGGTCTACCAAGCCTCCTCCTGGCTGTAACAAAAACTGAACAATTTTATAATAGTCTTTCACTCTGACGGTACAGGGTATAGAAAAATGTACGCCCAATTAAATCTAACATCTGATATTCATGGACTAGCATAATTAAAACGCACAATTGAAGTTCCTGAAAAACAATCTAGTGATTGGTCCTCCAAATTCAAATTTTGTTTAGAAAGAGTCGGATATTTATAGAAACTTTACAACTTATAATATCCAACATTTTCGAGCCTCCCCCATTCACATAATTTGCTGCCTTACAATTAGCACTTTCCTAAAGAAAAGGAAGCCAAACAAAAAGCAACGAGCCAACAACTAACTAACTAGGAACCGGGCACAAAGCAAACCGCTAGTTAAATACATCAAACATGCCAGAAATGTGCTGTTCATTTATAATGTGCCCAAAATTGAATTTAATTAGAAGCCCAGACCACAAACAAGCGGTTAGAGTTGAATGTAAATGCCGTAAATGAAGACGACACAAAAATTATGATGAAACGTAATGAAGCTGGGCGACCAGGAGAAGTTGGGGGTTCAGTCGCAAGCCAAAAAGCGAAAAGGACTAAACCTTAACGCAAATTAAAGTCGCACGAATTCAGGTCGAAGAGAACGAGATTGTATTAGTCAAGGAAGCAATTGAATTTAAAAGTGCGTGGCAGGCATTGGAATCTGTAAGTGCAACTGAGCATGCACATGTTAGCCTGTGAGTGTGTGAGTGTGTTGCAGTGTGTGTGTGTTCAAAGCAAATCGTAGCAACGGAAAAGCTTTTCACAATTTCCGCGCGCATAAACACACGACATTGCAGCAGGAATTCCAGCATACCTCCCATTGTAATCAATTCAATGCGTGGGTGTTTGTCTTATCGTAACGTAACGATATGTGAGCAGATTGTATGTATGTGTGTGTGAGTTTGTACGTAGGTGTGTGTGCGCGTAAGTGCTACAGCAGTTTCCTTTTTAGATGTGTTAATTTGTTTATGGAAATCGCATGTTGTAGTTGTTCTTCTAGTCATGTGTAATAGACGGACAGACAGCCTGTCATAAACAGAACCAGAGCGTTTTTCCATGTTAGGTGTCAAGCGTTGACTTAAATACGATTAAAAAGAAAAACCACCCGGACAGATCGAAATCATTAACGTCATATATATATACCTTATGTATTTGTCTCTCGCCGCATGTGCTCTGGCAGTGGCGTCCACGGCCGACGCTGCGCTATTGAAGTCGCTTAGCATTGAGAGTGAGCCTTGGATGCAGCCGGTGGTTGCGTACTTGGAAGCGCCCGCACGGCCAACAAAATCGCCAAGTAGGTGGCGCCACTATCATGTGCTTTTCTCGCCTCTCACCTCTCGATGTGTGTGTGTGTGCGTGTGTAGATCGAGTTTGGCAATGCGCGCCCGTAGTTAACAGTTGCGTTTTAGTGCCTAAACGTAGTTTAATTTAAAATACATAAAGGGTATTCACAGTGAGTTGATGATATTTCAATTCTCAAAACAATATCTTAAAGATGAAATGAACCTAAAAAAAATTGGTATTCTTTTGATGCGAATATAAATATTGGCTGTGAGATATATGAGACTACCATTTGGAATCGACTGACTGTGAATACCCTACTAGCTGACATTGAAATGCTTTCTAGTTGTTTCAACACCCACACCAACAACAACAAAAAGAACAACAGCAACCAATACACGACCAACCCCCCGCCCCCTCGCCCGCTCACCCACAAACACACGAGTACTCGTACATATCCCACAATCAAACAGCAATGGCTGCTATGCTAACTATTTAACTCTTGTTCCTCTGCAACGTTCCTTGAATGTATTTTGTATTGTATCCATTGTTATATGTGTGTGTGTCTATGTGTAAACAGCATACTCGAGCGAAGCCGCAACCCATTGAATCTCGGTCTATTTCTTATTCGCAGAGTGCGATCAAACTTTTGTCTCGCGTATCGGTGGGCCTCAGAACGGCAGCTTCTCGGCGCCCTTGCTGCACAACCATCGCAATCATTCGCGACAATGTCTCTACACTTTCCTAGCAGGACCTGGCCAGCGCGTTGAAGTAGTTTTTAAAACATTTAATTTAAGAGGAAGTCCACCAGAGTAAGTTAAACCAGTTCCAGACCATGGTCAGGCATTTGCAAATACATAATTTATTTAACTGCTTTCTTACTTACTCTTAATACTCTTTCGTGCATTTATTTAGCGGTTCGGCCGTCGGTGAATTACCAAGGTATGTATGCACATTAGTTCCATCATTGGGTATTTCAAGTTGTAATTCATGTGGTCCATTGCAGTTGTGTTCATGAGTACATGGATATTTACTCGGAGGTGCAATCATCCGAACCAGCGGAACTGATCAACTCACCATTTGGTGGTCGCTACTGTGGCACAATACCGCCTCGCCGCCGAATCTCCATGTATCGCGCAGTCGCCATTTCGTTTTTTACCAATAAAAATGTCTCGATGCCGGACCTCTTCGAAGGCACATTTAGGTTTATAAATGCATGTGAGTACACAGCTCCTAATTTTGAGCCGACTAGCCTACACGAATTATACAATTCCACATATGTTCGTATATATATTACTTGTTAATTGTATGACTTGCTACTACCATCTATTTAGCGGAATATGAAATTGGTATACCTATTGCCGGGTCGCCATGTTCCTACACGATAACGCCTAGCATGAGTATCAATAAAACTGGCGCCCTCATATCGCCAACCTATCCAGGTGCCTATCCGAAGGATATGTCATGCACATATCAATTTCTTGGTGAATCGAATCAAAGAGTTAGATTAGAATTTCGTGATTTTGATCTGTTTTTTGGTGGACCACAGTGAGTACCTCTAATGCTGTACAATTCTACACATAAAAAACAAGAAACGATGTCATTATCAAACCGAATTGTGCCTACGATTTGGTTTGATTCGCAGCTATCACTCACACACACTCATAATCAACTATTTCTGATCTCTATAAAATTTCTCTCTACTACTCACTTATTCGCCACCAACAAAATTATTATTGATCTTTCAACTAAACAACTTGAACAACAACTACCACATTTAGCTGCCCATTTGACTATGTCAAAGTGTACGATGGTCCAGATAATTCGTCAGCATTAATCGGTACATATTGCGGACAGCAAAGAAACTTAGTTTTGTATTCGAGCGAGTCGAGCCTTTTTGTTCATTTTTATACGTTACCGCGCACCGCAAACACACAAAATCGTGGCTTTAAAGGAATTTATGAATTTAGCGAGAGTTTTGTTAAATTAGATTTTATACGTAAGTATGCAAATATCTTAAACAATATCTCTACATAACATTTTTTCAGTTGATTCTGAGCCTAATCGAACCGAGCATTTTCCGTCGCTGAGATGAGCCCTAATTGTTGGCACTTGACGCACAAAAGTATGCTACGGAAAGTGTAGTGTCTACTTTTTGTATAGCAAGTGTTCTTGATGCTAGCTCAGCGGCGCAAAAAAACTCCAACACTCATACACACACACACATTTTACAGCTCACAGTATGTGCTTGATCCATTCAAAGAAGTTGTGTTTTCTGCTTTATTAATTTTTGATGCATTTTTGATGTTCCCCCGCCCAATTCTTTACCAAACTTTCTTTCCAACACTCATAAGATGATTTACATTTACTTAATCTTTAAAGCAAACACTAAATAACACTGATTTAAGATTTATTTACCAATATATTGTGACAAACTATCTTTAAAGCAAATACTATTAAAAGGTATCACTATATAATATTAACTTTAAAGATAGAGAGTCAACAATATTCGTATCATACCTCAACGAAATCTCATTCCCTTTCTATCTACTCGATTCTACATAAACTCTTTCACCTATTTCTAAAATTTCTACTAACCCCGCAATACTCGCAAAACCAAAAATGCAACAAAAAATAACCACGAATCATGCGGAAACAGGTGAAAACGATGGCATTCACATACGTGGCTCAGAATGTGATCAAAAGATTTTATCGAAAAAGGAATCAACTGGCTATGTGCTCTCACCCAACTATCCCTATCCATATATACCAAAAACTGTGTGTAGGTAAGTGCTTTTCTATCTGAAACGAGTTCGGGAGTCTTCCACAAATATCTGCCATAATGCTGTATTTCCCCCAACTGCAGATATTTCATCTATGGCATGCAGGATGCTCAGCATCTGGAGCGTGTACGTCTCGAGTTTAATGCATTCAATATTCCAAAAGTGGAGCACAAGGACAAGAGCGAGTATGTGTATTAAAAGAATGATAATTCATTTTAGAGAAATCGAATTTACTCTACTAATTTACTTAACCTCTAGATCTAATTGCACGGATGGTTACCTGAAGATATATCTGAAGGGTCAGGAGACTGCCGATGCCTATGACAAGTTTGATTACGAGCTGTGTGGCAATGAAACGCAGCGTGTTATAAGCGAAGGTCCACGTCTAGCCATGGTCTTCAGCTCTGGTGAGCTGCAGGGTCGTGGTTTTAAAGGCAAATACACCTTCGAAACCGAGTACAAAATACCTGGCACTGCCGCCCCCGACGGCACCTGCAGCTTCACGTACGTGAGCAGCTCAAAGAAGCGCGGAGAATTGAACAGTCCTCGCTATCCCTCCAACTATCCGTCAGAAACGAATTGTTCCTATTTGTTTTTGGCCGAGGCCAATGAGCAGGTGACCATAGTCTTTGATCACTTTAAGATTAAGGCAGACAACAATGCGAATGCCACAGCGGGTGCCTATGGGTAGGTCCCTTAAACCTCCACTCCTCAACATATGGATTTGGATGATTGGGTATTGTTTACTTTTAGCTCCGGTGCCTGTTTCGAGGACTGGCTGGAAATGTACGTTGTCTACCGGGACAACAATGATCGCCTACTAGGCCGCTATTGTGGTCTGACAGCCCCCGGACCCGTCGAAAGCCCACGTGGAGCGGTTGGTCTGCGCATCACACTGCACACAGACCAGGAGAATGTGGCGAGCGGCTTTAAGGCGCGTTACTTCTTCGAATCAGCCAAGTCCGATGTAGGCGACTGCGGTGGCAACTTCAGCAACGAAGACTCGGGCATCATCACATCACCCAACTACCCTTCAGGCTACAAGGCACCAGGTCGTGGCATGGCCTCGATGGCCTGCAATTGGGTGATGACTGCGCGTCCAGGATACAAGTTATCCATTAATTTTGAGCAATTCGCTTTAGAGGGTGATCCGGCAAGTGAGTGGACAACGATAACAATCCAACGTCCCCAAAACGGACTGTACCGCATCGTTTTTTCTAATATTATTTATAGATCGCGGCTGCCCAGCTGCTGTGCTGCGCCTATGGGTAAACGTCGATTCCGATCAACCGCCATTGGAGTTGTGTGGCGAGAAACCACCAATCGAGCAATGGCATTATATATCAACGGGTCAAACTGCTCGCATCAGTTTCACCACCAGTGACAAGACCGTTGGTGCCCAGGTAAGCACGGGCCTAATTGAAAATTGTGCTTAGAACACTTAGACAACTCTCCGTACTCGATGCAGGGCTTCCGTATAGTATGGACTGAAATACAAGACTCTGGTCCGGGACCTCCATCCATTGGACTGCTCTGCGAATCAACGTACCACTTCCAGTGCGAGGTGGGCTACTGCATTTCCGATAAACTGCGCTGCGACGGCGTCAAGAACTGTGGCCCCGGCGACGATAGTGACGAATTGCACTGTGAGTCGTGAGTGAGTCGAACGGTTCAGTTCAATTTTTTATTTCTCTTTTATCCTATTTTAAAGCTGCAACTTACATATGTATGTTAAGTTTATGTTTTCAGTGTGCCCCCAAATGAGCGGCCATGAAAATTCTTTTCATTTTCCGTTTCCCATTCGGTTTGTTATTAATGTTGGGATTGCATATAGAAACAAGATCTGTGCAATCCACATTTTATTTCTTATATTTCATTATACCTCTCATTTATTTATAAATATCACGAAAACTTGAACCCGACGAAACACTTGCAAAAATATACTTAATTATAATATTTAATAAATTAAATAACTATAACTATAACTTAACAAAACCAACCTAATGCCGAAACACAATTACTACTAAGTCTAAGCTGCACTTGTACACGAAGTCTTTTTCCTAACTCTCCTACCCATGTGTTAAATGATTTTTGATCCACAGCCAGAATTGTTGTAAATAAATTTAATAACTAGGATGTTCTCCCCTCCCAACGCCCAATTACATTTCACCTTCAATCTTATCTCTATGTATTGTTTGCAGTCACTTTTTCCACATTAGACTCTTTATGTTGTACTACTTGTATACGTACTCTTAGTCGCAGTGTAATCATATCAACTAGCTAACAGCAAATCAAACAAAATCGAAAGCCACGCCCACACTATAAATTGCTCTGTCTCTCTCAAATGTCTTATTCTTCTATTTCTCTCTGTTCTTTGTCTTTCTTTTGTCTTTCCACAAACTAAACAAACTACCTCAACTGAATCTGTCTACATTATACACTCCTAATAACAACTAAATACCGATTACTAAATATCATACTAATACGGGGCTCAGGTGACGCAAACGCCACCCAGTTGCCCACATTCTTGCAAACAGTTGTCTTGGCAATTACAGCACTAGCGTTGAACACATATAACTAAAGAATCAAAATTAATGCAAAATATGCGAAGAATCCATTTGATATTGGATTGTTAAGTAAATGGAATTGCCTCGAGAATCAACAAGAAACAATAACAAAGACAAATTAATTAACAACAAGAAGAAAGATTCTTCTAGCAAGAACTTGAACTAACTTTCCTAACCACAGTTACACACTAAATACGACTAAATGTAAATGCATAAGAAAGAAATACCTTTGGTCACATACTATATAACACGTGAGTCCTGCATAAGCTTTCCTAATTCATGCAAACAGAAAAACCACTTCACTCCACACCTCACACAAGCTTCTCTCATGACATGCACAGTACTCATTGAATACAACGAACAACTCACTCTCACACAGTCAAAATGTAGATAATGTATGTGAAACAACAAGTTGGCATCCAAAATCGCGTATGCAGAAAGCCCCAAAAATCTTTTTATTTTATTATTTTAATTCACCTATGACCCTAAGGGCGCCATCCACAGCACAGCAAGAAGAAAGCAGAAAACAACAATTGCAACAAATATTCAAAAATACATATAGACTACATAAATTATGACAAATAGTATGTTATATAATCTGGAGCAACCGGAAGTGAATAACAAGTATCCCACATTAAGAGCTCGTTTGCTTATCATATACACAACACTGTCCGTGCAGACTACACACACGTTTTACATTAGTCAGAATTTTATTTAAAGCACCAATACCAATTTAAAGGCAAAACGAGTACGAACCTCTCCCTCTCACAGTCAACTTAATCAATCGCCCCTAGAGCAGTTGTACGATATAGTGCACAGATTTGACTGAAACTTTAAAATACAGGGAGTCCAATTTTAAAAAATCTTAGAATACCATGTTTTATTTAGATAAATTGTGAGAACAATAAAGTTATTGGTAGTAATTTTAATTCAACTTTATATCATATTAAGGCATAATGAAACTCCTATGTTTCAATATAAAATTTTCCTCATTTTGTTGTTCATTTTGAAACTAAGGCAAGTCTCCATAGCACCATGATTTTTCGACATGCTACTTATATGGAATCTACCACACCTACTATCGCATGTTCATGAAATTGGCTTGTAGACTTTCCAGTATGGTTTTTTAATTAATTTATAGCCAAAAAAAACTTTAGAGTTATTATTAATTCACTAAATCCGAGAAAGTTGCTTATTAGGGCTTAGCTCTTTGCCATCGGACTTGAGCGTTTTTCAAGAATTTCTGATTAACAGTGCTCGACACTTCTTACCCCAACACCCTATTCACATACACAACCATCAGCACAAACGGACTAGCAGACAATTAAAAACAACTAATCCAACATACTGAAAAATAGATGGGGCCCTTTATGTGTAATTCAAACCGATACCAGACCAGATCTCATTAAATGCTCAACTTAAATTGCATTTCCATACACCTTAAATATATAATATCGCTGCGTATTTTGCGTTGCTTTTCCAAATTTTCCGTTGTATCATTAGAGCTTTAGTTCTTACATTCTGCGAAACTATTCAGTATCAGCCCTTTTTCATTTGCCCTCAACGCTTCTGGCTTTTCTGGCTTTTTTGTGTTATCCAGCACTTTAGAATAATTTGTTATGAGTTGTGAGTATGAGCACCCTAATGACAAGTTGCACTGTATTTTACTGTAAACTAAAAATATGCATTTTAAAGTAGCGAATTAAATAACGTACATATTTTAAATTTAAAATGCAAACACATCCAGCAGTGCCCAGCAGAACATGAAGACACACATTATCGAAAAAATAGCAAAAGACCCACACATCAACTATCAACTAAGTTACTCGTACATTTGTCATAATACTATGTGCTAGTACTTATATACTATTAAGAGAGCAGTGCATTCGTTTATTTTTAATTGAAATAAAATTGTAAAAGTGTTTGTATTAACATGTGATCTTCTTCTTGCTTTTGTTTCACTCACCAAAATTCCCATCCTGCAAAGGTATCACGGAAGCGCCAGAGGAGGATCACGACGTTCTAATTATAATAACACTATTCGTCGTCTCGTGCCTAATCTGTCTCCTATGCACACTTTGTCACTCCAGAAGAAAACGTAGAAACCATGTGCGTCAATTGGGCTTACATCGAAATGCACACTACGATTCGCAAACAAGTGCAACAGGTACGAAGATATTGAGAATCGGGGACCAAAGTCGAGGATCAGAATTGATGTTTGTCTATCTTTTAATTTCTTAGGCTTTCTTTGATTTGGTTTTTTGTCTATTATTTGCTTTTCGTTTCAAGGTAACTTGTTGATTCAGAGTATAGAAGTCAACTGAATAATTCAAGTATTACAATCCGTACTCTCTTCTTCATTATACAGCGGGTCTCAGTTCTAGTCGACGGCATTTGCAGAGCGGAGGGCCCAGCATTGCAGGGAGCCTGCATGGCATCAATAGCGGTAACCTTATCATTCCTCCAGCGCCTTTGCCACCGACCAGCGTCCCACCACCACCCCACATATGCATCGCCGGTGTCGACATGGCGCATGGTTTGATGTCAAATGGCGAGGACGAAGACGACGACGAACTGGATCTGGACGAGGATCAGCTGCCGGCGGACATATTTATCAATGATGTGCATTTCGACGAGGACAACATCGACCATGTGAATCAAATGGCAAACGTTTAACGATGGCTTAGGGTTTTAAAGCATTTTTACCGCAAATTTATGTTGTAAAGCGCATTAGGTTGGCCAACTAACCGCCAAATAGTGAAGTATTTAACTAACATACACACTATTAAAAAATACAAAACCAAAAGAACAAGAACAAAAATTCAAAAGTTAACAATACCTAAAAGACGAAAAATATGCAAATGTGCGAATTGATTAAGACGTAATATTATTAAATGAAGCGCTAATAAACGTAAATGTAAAAGTACAGTAGGGCGTGAAACTTTGTAGTTGCGATAAACATGAGTAGCCGCGTTTCACAAAGTTTGACAAAACATAATAATTACAATTAAATGAAATTATATTATACATATAGCAAATACGTATGGAAAGCGATAGGAGATAGGAGAACGAAAATTGAGATCGGACGGCAAATATGTAAAGCATTTTCAAAGCTAAATGAGAACGCAAAATGTTGTTGATTTTTATATTTGATACGAGTAATATTTAGGTGAAGCATAAATTGAATTAATTATACAAGAAAGCAAACACATTCACACAAAGTAAACAAATTTAAACAACAACAACAATAATAATAATAGTAATGATAATTTAAACGAATAAACGCAAGCATCGTACGAACGAACGTATGTACTCGCATGTACACTAGAGGGCATAAAACAATAAAATTAAACGTATACATACGCGCATAATTTTTATTTACACATTTTTTTACAAAGCAAAACATACACGGGAAAGAGAGTTGAGGCCACTGTATCTGCATCGACAAATGCTCAAGTGTAAATTATTTACAAAATAATATTTTTAATGAGTACACAAATCAAACTTACAAACATGCATAAATAAAACAATTAGTGACTATCAAAACTGTATCTTCCAGCAAAGAGTTAAATAATGAAAATAATAAGCGGTAAATTAATGAAAGTTTATATAAATAAATTAAAAAATAAATGAATTAAATAAACTAAAGACAATTGGCAGTTGGCGTGCGCCTCTATTGAAAATTTGAGAAAACCTAGAATTTTTGTCTATTTAAGCACGTTTTTATAAACATTTAGAGAGAAGAAATATTTATAAAAATGTACACGCTAAAAGTAATGAGGATAATAAATTATACAAGCATAAAAGAACCTATCAATAACAACAAAACTCAAATAACAAAAATGTTAATACTTATTGCAATGTGCCAAGCGTATTTTCAATATTCGAAATCCAATTTATTTTCAACGCTCTCATTAATTGCTATAAATTATGTTTTGCTTTCATTAACCAAAGATTAGAAGCCTAAATTTTGAAATCGGTGCAATTCCAAATAGGAAATAATTCTTGAAATCTGTTTAGCACTTCTTGAAGAAATGAATATATTTTTCTTTTTATTTTAAGTTTTTGCAACACGCAGCTGAATTCCAAAAAAAAACTCTACCAGTTTGCAAAACTAAATAAAGTATACATCTTCACAGGCAAACAAGTTATAAATGATTTGTATTTAAAAAATTTGAGTCCATAACTCAGTTTAGTTTTCAGCTGGATAGTGTGTCTGTAAGAATTCGAATAACTAATAATGAGGCATTTGATAAACATTTAATGAAAATAAAAATTATTGGTTTCATAGCGCACGTACGTTTTGCAATAGAAAATAAAACAAAACAAAATTATAAAAAGTTGAAATGAAGGTAGGTGTTTGAAAATAAAAATTTTAAAAAACTTACATTCAAATGTTAAATTGTTGCATGCAACAGATGAGCAACTAAATTAGAAATTGTAATTAAAACTGAGAATAACATAAATATTTAGTTTAAGTGTACAAAATTTTGTTGTTGTATTGCATAAATAATTAATTAGTTAAAGAACAAAAAATTGAATTTGTGTTCTAGCAATAATTGTAAGTCTCAAAAAGGTCTTAAACGGTATAAAAATAAAAGTTAAAAAAAAAAACGTTCCATTACCAAAGGGAGCCCTGACAAATGTTTTAAGCTAAAGCAAATGTTTACTAAAACAAAATACAAACACGTTTACTTCAAATCCCCGAGCAAGTGTTAAATTTAAAATTAAATACATACATAAGCAAGGAATGGGTATAATGTTATATTCAAGTCGCCGACCATTAAGGCAACTTGGTATTCTGAGTGCGGAAAAGCATTAGCTTTGGGGCTGAGTGTGTAGGACATGAATGCAGACATAATTGACTAAAAATAAAAATTTAAATAATTAAAAATGAAACACCTACAAAAACAATTCCATGTTAACATTAAATCTAAATAATGCTAAATAATTAAATGAATACTAAAAACAAAATAATAATTAACAATTTATACTAAAGTTAAGCAAAACCATGAAGAAAATTAACCACAAAACAAAAAGAGTTTGGATTGCGCATTGAAAACTAAAAACCTAAAAGAAAAAAAAATAACAACCATAGGCAAGATAAACAATTATGAACATTAAAGTCTTTAGCAACTTTATTGAGTCTGTTTGGTTCGATTATTCAGCCAACATTTGTTACATAGAGAATATTGATTTACTGCAGTTATATATTGATTCATTTTGTGTAATAAATGAAATTTTGTATTCATTTGCTAATAATTTGCAAAAAAAAAAAAAAAAAAAAAAAAAATGCAAACAGCGACAACAACAAAATACATACACAGAAATATACATTTCGTTTTTATTACCAAAAACATATATATTTTACTGAAATATATATTAAATTGTGCACAAAGTTTTTTTTATTCGCAGCGTCTAGTTCTGCGAGTTTAAACGAAACTTCTCCAACATTTTATTAATAGCCTCGGCATCTCCTTCGATTTTGGCCTTCTCCTAACATACACAAAACAAAGTATTAAACGAAAAGCTGTAAATTCTTGTAGCAAACAATAAGCACCTGCTGCACCACCTCCTCAAAAGTTATCTGCTTAGTGCCTATTGAGTAGAAGTCCTCGTCAGCAATCGTAATGCGCCCGTCGACTTCCGAAGCGCTACCCTCGTATATGTCCAAAGCTTTGAAATCAAAAACTATAGTGATATGGTCAACGAATGTGCCGCACATACGAGTACACCATACACCATAACATGGACGGCCCAGACTTACCCATGCTTTTGATAAGGTTGCCATCGACGTCTGTAAAATTGAATTGGAAAGTGTTTACCACGGTGCGCCTAGCTGGATCTGATTCCTTAAGTTTCCTTCGAATTTTCTCAATTATCTCGTCACTCTTCATTGTGATATGTATTCCTTTAAAACGAACCTCACAGTCTGAACGCTGCTGACTGACTAATTTACGCGCAGTCAGCAATTGTCGAAGTTAGCGGATTAGCGTACTATGCCACCATGAGCTGCTGCAGTCGCTGCCATCATCGTTGTCGTTTTTGCATAATGCTCAATTAAAGTTAATTTTCTTGATAGAGACATGATTGAAGATATTGATGTTGTGCAGGGCATGAGAAAATCCAGCTATTGATTTGGGTCTTTTTTACCCAACTTGTATGAGAAAACATACGTATTTATTTTAGTAGATAAAAACTAACGCTACTAACTAAAACTTAGTATGCAAGTTATATAGACACTTAGGGCAAACGACTTTAAAATTTAGGGCTTCCATAGTTTAAGCAAACCGTCTTCACTGTAGCTAGCTAATAGATTCTGATGTGGATGATGCGTGAGACCGATAACGTCTTTTTCATGCACCTATATACGGAAAAAGGTGATTTAATCAGGCAGGCCACTAATACTAAAAATTATACTCACGTTCAATGTACGCTCCAGCTTGCCCGAGGAGACAGAGAAGCAATAGAGCACCTGATCTTCTCCAGCACAATAAATGAATTCACCGCGAGGCGAGAGAGTCGCCGATATAAAGGCACCACCTTCGCGCTTGCCCGACGAGAATGAACGGACAATTTGTCCCTGCATGTTCATGATGACGACCGTATTAGATCTGTTGCAGACAATAAAATGTTCTGGATTCTTTGGCAAAATCAGCACAGTATTGACAGCCAGTTCATTGCCCAACGCTTTATATGTAGCCACACATTCCGTAGTTTTGAGGGACCAAACTTTTACAGTGCCGTCAGAAGAGGCGCTGAGCATGCTGTGGCCATCCGGCGTGAATGTGGCTTCGTTAACAAACGAGGTATGGCCTTTGAACTCTTTAAGAAGTTTGCCAGATTTAAGACCATGCAACCGCACGGTATAATCAAAGGAAGCGCTAAGTACTTGACTGTTGTCACGGGAGAATTGAAGGCAGGTTATACCCTTCGTGTGCGCCTTCTCAAATTTGCGTAAGCACTGACCAGTGATGATGCGCCAAACCTTTATTTGCCCATCCTGGGCACCGGAAGCCACCATTTCGGAGTCCCGCGAAAAACTCAAAGCCAGCACAGCCTGTTCCATCATCATAAACTGGTCCTGTGCCTGATACTTTAAATCCTTTCGCACCTTGCCGGTCGTAAAATTCCAAACTTCCAAAAATCCATCCACGCTTCCAGTAATGAGATATTGTCCGTCAGGTGAGAATTGCGCACACTCCACATGTGACTTTTGGCCGAACTTAATCTGACGAAAAAGCTGTGTAGGATACATTTCCTCCTCTTGATCCCTCATTGCTGCTTTGCCACGGAACAAATCTATGGTTGTACCTGGTGGTAGCAACCCCTGATGCTGTTGCCATTTGAGCGCTTGCCCCAACAACGCAAGAAGTCGAGACGAGGGCACCACATGCACTTCACCACTTAACTCCTGGGCAATAAACGTACGACGCTTTTCTTTGCTGCTGCCCTCAGGGTAGGCCTCACGCGGATCGAAATAGGCACGCTGCAACATATTTTCTGCAAAACATCGCTAGAGCCAAATTGCTAATAATAACGCAATTCTATACTCACCCAGATGTATGTAGCGCTCCGGCTCGTGCTGTTTCAACATACTCATAGGGTCCGTTTGTCGCAGCAAAGATCGCGCAGCACCCAATTCCCGCAACTCTATTAATTCCAGAACAATTTGCTCATAAAGATTTAAGAGCTTTTTATCCGGTAACTTAAGGGATTGTGTTACCTTAAGCACCGTGTCCCAGTGACCATTAGAAATGTCCTGCACAAAACCATCGACACTGTCTACAGTGTTGAGTGAAACGCCGGTTTCCTCCTATTTAGCAAGAACAAATACAGGTCAAACCAACCACCCTTCGGCAGCATAGACGGGTATTACTTACTTGCAAAGTTTGTAGCGTCTTTAGCAGGTTAGATTCTTTTAAATATTGTTGTATAAGGCGGATAACGCTGAAAGAGATATTTTCATAACCAGGTGACATTAAACAGTCTATTTATGTACTTACTCGGCTGATTCGATTTCAATGGACATCGTTTGTTTTTTAAATTGGTTAAACTAATGTAACTAATGTAAGCGAACACTTGGGCGACCAAAACAGACTCTCTTCTTCTTCAACACTAACGTTCACACGCTGAGTCGATTAACGATTATTATTGCCGAGTATATAAAAAAGTAGTCGATTGTAACTGGTGGAGTATCGATACAGGTTAGTGCTCGCTGCCGCCATCGCTAACGGAAGCTGCGCGTTGTGAGGGGCGCAATATATTTGCGTGGAAAATTGTAATGTTAATAATTAATGTATAAATAATACTGTGTTTACAAATGTGTACTGTGTGTAAATTTGTTAATAAAATGCAGGCATGTTAATGCTATAACGCTTTAGAAGAGCAATAACACAAGCCTTTGTTGTTGTTGGCGCGCCACTCTATACTTGCTCTTTCGCTTTGTTTATGCGCAAACGGGAGAGATACACAGAAAATTTGCGGAAAGCGCCAACGGTTTGGGGAGTGTGCGCACGTCTGCATATTGTTATTGCGTTCTCCGGCGCCCCATTGACTCTCACGCTCGCAGCTCCAACGATTATGTACTTGTTTTCGGGCTACGAGACTTAAATCGCGACATTTGCCATTGAGTTGAACAGCTACTTTGGAGCATGACGGTCGTCTCGTAGCTGTCGTCGTCGCAACGGGGCACTAGCAACAGCTTCAACGCCCACGCATCGTCCGTGCCAGTCATAAATAACGGGGCGAAATCATCAATTTCGAGTAATTATATATAGATTTAATTTGTTGTTGGCCGCAAACCAAAATGCGAGAATATTGGACTAACACTAACTATAGTCTCGATATTGGTTCTGAGTGAGCTTGTTCATGTGTATGAATTTTTGCAGTTGCAATAGCACCAGCGGAAACCACAACAACAACAATAGCGCCAACATTTGCCTCTTCTCGTTCGCTGGCTCTTTCGGTTCGTCGTGATTCTGTGTATACTACAACAAAATTTTGTTGTTAAAGGCGGCAGCAGCAGAAGGCACGCCCTTCAATTGTGTGTGTGTGTGTATGTGTATGGCAGCAGCAGCATCGGCTGCAACATTTTGTTGGCCAAGAGCAAAAACGATTAATACAAATCACAGCCCATGTACATACATACATACGCAACGCTTCAAATTTCACTAAAACCCAAAACCTAGATGAGAAAAATCAATTGAAACTCAACTAAAATGTAATTTGACGTGCGCGCGTATAAAAAATCGACAAGAAATAACAAATAAACTGCGCAGGCAATGCGCAAGCAAATAATGTGCAACAGAAATTAACAACAATAACAAAACAACAATCACACCACCAACACAGAAACAACATAGTCAAGGATTGTCCTGAGCCATAAACATGAAGATGGTCGACAAATCTTCCAAGTTGGTGGATAAATTAACCGCTAATATGAGCGGCGGAGGAGCTGGTGGCCAGAGCGGAGGTGGAGGTAGCACAGGTGCAGGCATGGCCAACAGTGCAGCATCAGGCGCAGTCGGTGGCTTGGCAGGCCTAGCAAATGCCACCAATGGTGCCCAGAAACCGGTGCCAATGAAATTATTTGCCGCCTGGGAAGTGGATCGTACACCTCCCAATTGCATACCAAGGTGAGTGCAAGCTGCAACATTTAAATAATTGTTCGCCATCGCTGGCAGTGCCTGTCTTTAGCTCTTGTCGTCGACTCAAAAGTGGACCATTCCCCAATTTCGATACGATTGTGTTTATTTTTGTTTTTATCCGTTCGTTTCCTAACACAATAACAACGGCAGGGTTGAAAATTATTTTACATCACCGAACTGTAGCTGTGGTTGCGAGCTGTTTACTCTCCCCTCCCGCAACGTTTGAGCGTTCGATTTTTCCGCCTTGCTTTGTAATAGGTATCTCTGCGTGTGCCTCCACATTTTGTTGTTGAGCCTTATTTATTGTTTTTTTTATATATTTTTGCCATGCCAATCGACGGTATGCTACCTGCGCACATCGCGTCCTGCTGACATTTATTTATGGCTTGCAAATTTTGACAACAAATAAAAATCGCAAAGCGTTTCCTTCCCGACACACGGCTTTATCTCTGCCCATCTACTCTTTATTTTCAAACTCTTGGTACACGTCGCACAGTGACATAAAAAGCCCGAAAATCGGTCAAAAATTCCCAAATTGAAATAAATTACATTTGGATTACAAATATGTACATACATGTCTGTCCGTTTGTCACCAAAGTTGGTTTAAAACACCTTTTAAAAACCGAAAAGAAACATATAATACTGATATACATCGAGCTTAATAATTAATACCAAAATAAAATACTATATATTCGTAAAACTTGCACTAAACCCAAAACATCATTAATAAGTCTTTAGAAGTGTTTTGAAAGTTCAGATTTATCATTTATCCCACTGTTTGCTGAATATTTCATTTTCTTGAATTGTTTTGTGTCCCAGTAACCCCCAAACGTACTGCCAAATATTTATTTACCTCTGCCCAAGTGTCGCCGCGTTTATTCTTTGATAAGCATTTATTTGGCTCTGTTTTTCTTTCTGGTGATGAGTCATAAAGGTGACTAGAAGATGACGAAAAAATGATAATTATTAGTGCATCTTTGGCCCTATTTAGAATAACATCCGTGTTTTGTTTACATTACTACAATCCCAAACTTTTCCACAATGTAAGTAAATAATTTATACCATTTCATCAAAAAATCCCAACACGACGCAAAGTGCATTAAAAATGCAAGCCTTTGAATTCCTTAAATATGAGCAACCCCGGCAGCTTGCTCTTCAACAATTTTGTACCGTTGTTTATCCAAATGAAAGGTCATGAACTGACAAGCGTTGTGGCAGCCAGTGCGACCAAGGTACGTCCACTTATCTCAAGATACCAACAAATTCGGCTGCCGTTGTTTGTTTATAATTATATGCCGTGGTGCCTCCGTGGCGCGCCTGGCTTATTTAATATTAGACCTCGAGGCAGCAAAATGGAACTTTATGCCTTAACTTTTCAAATGACATTTTCATAAATTATATCAAAAACAAACTTTCGCCATCCCGGCAATTAAAAGACAGACCCTAATTACAGTCACTCTCTAATCAGTAGGTATAACGGCATCTTTAATGAATAGTCTAATTCTGTCTTACACGCTGAACTTGTCAGTATTTCTCATATGTATGTACTATCTCGGGGCAAGTATATTTGCGTTAGTAAAATTATTACCTCTAGTTGGCGCTGTCTGGAAACTGCTGCCACTAAAACACAATGAGGAAACTGTGATATTAAGATGATTGTATCTACGCATGAATGTGGCACGTACAAACACTTCAATTTTGGGTCCCGGGATGACTTTGGGTGTTGGGTAAATAAACGTGCGGCAGTAAATATACATACTGAAGTAAATGTATACACTGAAATCAAATGAGTTGAGATCAGTGATTACACCTAAATATAGTATACATATGTATGCATGTCTAAGCTGCCGAGGACTGTTTGTTTGAAATAGTTTATGGACACTACCGACACGTAAGAGCATGTTATTTGGATCGAAACAGTGCCGTTCACACTCAAATCGTATTTTTTATCGCTGTTCTGCAGCTGTTACTTGCTAAGCCCACAGATATAGGTCTAGCCACATTTTCAATTGCACATTTTCTGCAGATAAATCTCACACGCACTATATGTACACGTGAGGCATCCTATTCCACTATTTGTCTGTTATTTGTGAAGTGTAAACAAAAGCATGACCTGACACATGGCTGTTAACATTGAAATCATTTTCCGTAAACATTGTTTTAACAACCAACATTAATATTTATATACGCTGTCCGTCTGTCTGTCTATATGAGTGCACCGATCTCAGATAATATAAGAGCTGGAATAATCAACTACATACATATGTCTCTAGATTTTCCAAATCCCAAGAAAGGACTAGTTTATTTGTATACGCTGTAGCCAAGGATTTCAAAAAGTAGAAGAGCTAAATTAACGACACATTGCACTGATACTCTAAAAAACATAAGTATATCAGTACATACGTGATTTTATCACACCAAGGGTAAAGGGTATACTAGGTTAGGAGAATATGAGTAACACAGAAGGATCAGGAGCAGAAGATGAAACGATGTATCTGTCTGTTTGTCTCTCCGTCTATTGGAGCGCACGGATCTCTAGAAGTAATCTAAACAACATCATTTGAAAGTGTTAAGGCTGGATTGCTATTGACTTGTGCTTCTCTCGTACTCATACACATCAATCAACTATTTGACTTTATATAAGCACAGATAGTTTATTTATTTGTCTAATTTTAGGAACGAGCCACACGCATGTTAAATCGCAGCCGACCCATTTGAGTAAAAATAAACGCGACTACATAACACATTTAAGAATTAATTTATAAACAGCGTGCTCGCTTTTACTAGAAATTAATGAAAAGCCACGAAAATTGGCAGTGACATATTTTGCTCGCCACGGATACTACATAAAATACGTATACATTTGTATCTGAACATTTGTATCTCTAAGCACGACACATTCTGTTGATTTTGCCAGCACAACAACATCAACACCCACTGTTGTCGTGGCCCATAGGCAAGAAGGAACAGCGCACAGTGGCACTTCATGGTTTAAAAGAGTAGAGTGGAGCTCCAATCCATTCAAAAAATACTACACTAATACAATTAGGTAGCTAGGTGCAGACGGCTTTTTCAGGCAGAACAACATAACAATATCTTTGAAGACAGCAACCAATTTCAATCTAGAATATTAACATTTTTCTCATTGAAATCAGTAGCACTTCGGTACTGCTTTTATTGGAATGTAACTCTTGTTCTTTATGAACGTATCAGCAATATACTGGTGTGCATTCAATTATTGTTGTCCCCCCATGATTGATTCGTTTTTTTTTTTTTGGCAGAATGGAATCGTAGTATGTTGCAAGACTCCTCTTTAAATGTTTATTATAATTCTGATTTGGTCAATTATTTTCAGTTCACTGTGCGGCGGACAGAGGCACTGCTCTATGTATCTGTATCTATAAGTAGAATTTATAGCGCGACAGCGACAACAGTTGGTGCGCATTATGCCCACAAATTCTAGCCTTGAACTTTTTTGGCCAAACAACGGCTGCCGCATCACATGCTGTGTTATTGTTGGTGTCGCGTTAGTGTTTTGAGAAAATGAATTTTAAGAATTTATGTTGCACTTTCGAGCATTTCTTTAAACAAAAACTATTTAAATTAGCCGTTTGCCTTCCACATAAACAAGTGTTAACTTTTTTAACCACAGTGCATTCTTGTTGCATTAACGAACCGGCACCTGCAGTCTGCGTAAATAAGGAGTCAGCATATACTAGTAAGTAATATTTTTGGCGCCATTGCAAGTTTATAATTATCAATTATTTTTGATTTTGGCAGTTAATTTCGTGCTCTTTCCTTCCCTCTCTTTCTCTGTCTCTTTTAATGGAGTGACACCTACTGCCAAGGTTTCTCTCTACGAACGCGGGTGTGGTTCTTGACTCACTTGTTTCTGTTATCTGACAGTTTGTACGGGGAATAACTAGAAGCGTACCATAAACAATAGCACAATCCGAACATGCTATTTATGGCTAGGTGCTCAATAAATAAGCCAGCGACTAAATTCTCTAGGAAAAGTGAAAACCAAACCCGCTTGTGTTGCTGGGTTCTGCTCAAATTTCCACCGAAGCTTCCACGCCTGTCTGAGCAGTTATTAAACGTAATTGCCGCTGCCCGAAACCCAATCGATTTCCATGCATTTTGTTGCTGACGGTGACGCCGACCCAAATAGCCAAATAACTTGAACCCCGCTGGCCAAGGCGTCGGATTGCGGGCGCGCGACCCAAATAGTCAAGTTAAAAGGTCTGCCGACAATTTCTAAGCCAGCAAAGCGCATTAGCCGCAGTGGCACGGTCAAACAAGCAAATTATAAGTTACTGCCAGTCGAAACACCTCGTGCAACTGCCGCTGCAGCAGCAACTGCAGTTTCTCTTATGGCCACATCGTACCAGTTGATGGGTATTATTAGGGCCATCGGCGATCCAACTGGTAATGGAAATGGAAAAGCTTAGCAGCAGTATGTGAAATAAATAAATCAATTGTCTGTTGAATGGGCAAAATAGTATCAGTTTTTAATGAAAACATTTGCGTACCTATTTGCACATGACCACACATTCACCAAAATTGGTTTGAACAAGACATATCTTCCATGAACAAGTCATATATTATTCTATCTATATATAGTAGCTCTAATAGAAACGATGGGTATAGAAATCAGGCATAAATTAACTGTTTTATTTACTAAGATTAATTAGCACAACGAATTGAAGAATTTCACAATTATGTCATCACTTTAATGATAATTCAATCAATGCTTTAAACAAAATGTCCACCATTTTTTTTGTGCTGCGACAAACCTTTGTCAATGGTTTTGTTTTATAGAACTTTGGTGGTGACTTTAAATGTAGCTTGATTTGTTGTCATTGATCTTACCTTATTTCGCGGCTCCTAGGTTTATATTTTATAAGGATTAAGTAAATGTAAAGACCATGTGCTTCCAACTTGCGTTACAGCTCAAAATAGTCTTCGGTGAAGGGCAATATTAAAAA